ATGGGAACGATTAATCGAATATTCGAAATTATTCGAATATGAATATTTCTTTTTGGGAGGGGTGTTACGGTGGGTGAAGCAAGCAGGACCCAAATGCTGAAAATGCCTTTATTTCAAGGATAACGAAATACTAGGACAAAACAGAACACTCACCGGTGAACTCAGTCACAAACAAAAGACGAACCAACACTGAACACAGGAAGAGACAAGACTAAATACAGGGAGGGGTAATCACAAGACGAGAAACAACCGGGCAGGGGAGGAGAATCACAAGGGCGACAGGTGAACACAATCAGACACACCAGGGAAACAACACAGGAAGAAGGACCAGACAATATACAAGGAAGAAAACACCCAAAACAAGACATACAAAACGTGACATAACACAATAATCGTAACAAGGGGTGCCTAAATTGATTACATAACATTTATTGTTGCAAATATGTTCAAATTGTTCTTACACTTTCAATCAATGTTTATTTATATAGCCCAATATCACAAATGTTACATTTGTCTCAGTGGACTTCACAGTGTGTACAGAATATCAGTATGACAATACGACACCCTCTGTCCTTAGACCCTCTGTCCTTAGACCCTCTGTCCTTAGACCCTCTGTCCTTAGACCCTCACATCGTACAAGGAAACACTTCCGAAGAAAACCCACAGTTTAAAGGGAACATGGGAGAAACCTCAGGGAGAGCAACAGATCCTTCAGACTTTAAATCCTGGAGAGTGGAGACCCTACTTTTCTAGACATAAAATCCACGAATGGAGAAATGGTTTATACTTTGCAAAATGCCCAAACTCAGCTGCGTACAGTGGGTTGAGCTTTATTCAAAAGGTAATCAGTGCTGTCCGAGGTAGTGTAGTCAGTCACACAAATTAACCAATGATATTGCGCCCTCTTGAGGACAATTAGGGTCATTTTGAAAATACCATAACATATTGTACTGAGATTACTGTAATCACACCGACATAGCATTCCTGTTAAGACACATAGTATATACATTTCAAAATACCACTGAGGCAAATATTTATATAATAAACATTTTTAAGACTGCAACCTGGGCACAGCAGTGTATATAGTTAAAAAAAGGCCGATAGTAATGTGCATAGTAAAACATAATTTATAATATGAAAGATCAGCAGAGACCGATCTGTGTGTTTGAGCATATACATCAGGTGTTGGGAGTCGTGAGTGTCTCACCTGGACGAAGAAGGCTCCCTGCAGCGCCTGAGACAGATCGTCGTGGCTGCTGATCAGAGCGAGCTGCTGATTGGCTCTCAGCTCTCCTCTCAGCATGTCAGCCTCCTCCAGCTCCTCCAGCTGCTTCCTGAACCAAACACAGGAAACAGAGCAGTTAACGCACATGCACACACTTTCTCCAAAGAAGCAGCTTGAAACATATGACTGTAAAAAGCACAGTTTAAATTAAAGGTGGGGTAGGTAAGTTTGAGAAACCGGCTCGAGATACACTTGTTGTTATATTCCATGGAATGCTCTTAACATCCCGATATCAATGAATATCTGAAGTGCTTTGACAAAAAATCCATTAAAAAAATGCATCTGTGGAAGCCGTGGCGCTGTAAAAAGCACGACCAATCATTTTGAGCCGGGCCGGCTAAAGTAACTGGATGGCCTACCTGCCTGTCAGCCTTCAATCTGTGCACAAGCTTATCTCGTGTCCTCATTGGTCATGTGCGCGTTCGTGTGTGTTGGAGGAGGGGCTCTGTAAGGAAGTGGCAGATTTTTTCCGGTTGTGTATTTTCAAATTCTAGCGCACTCGAGCTGGTTTCTCCAAAATTGCCTACCCCACCTTTAAGTGATAGTAGAAATACTGAAAGGACCTTAAGTGGTGACAAAACAACCGGAAATGTCAGGGAAAATGTTAAGAAAAGTGTGATGGATGCCTGAATGCTGTCAGTTTGGTTTACCATTCAAAATCCAACAAAAATGAACTGGCTGTCAATCATGGTAGCAGAGAAGCAGCTATTATTCAGATCGGATGAGTCAGCGTCATATCTAATTACTATTCAAAGCAAATGTGGAGTAAACTGAATTTGTCAAAACAGGGCACATGCTTAGGGACATTTTGTTTTAGCTTATTCAGCAAGAAATCACACACAATATCACCCTCTACTGTTCATACAGGCAGCTGGATTCCAGATAGAGGCTGATACATTTAATGATAAATACAAATATAAAATATATAGTTAGATCCTGGTTTAGAGTGTGGGTTTGTTTTACAGTTTTGAGGGCTTTAGATTTTATTTACTTGATATTAGGTCCTTTTCTTGCCCAAAATCCCTCTGTCATTCCACAGTAATGTTTAACTAGCAGTGACTAAGCTATTAGAGAGTTATAGGTTGGAACGGGTGTTTGTCCATGAGTCTGTATAGTGAGGGGAAGTCACTGATCACGCAATGTCCATGTATCTTTTATGTAAGCACCGGAAGGAAGAACGGTTGTAGGGTCCGTCTGGACGTCTTGTTAATGATCCCTTGAATGTTTCGCAACTACATGCATCTAATGGCAAAACAACCATAAAAACCACCTGACCTGATCTCTTGGATGGCCTTGGCAGCCTGTCCTGGTTGGTTGTCATAGATCTTCACATTGTAGCCTCCACTGACAAACACCATAGCCCAGGAGCGGCCAATCAGCCCGCTGAAACAAAACACAAATAAAGCTTTAGGATGTTCACTCTCTGTATTCCCTGTAATAACAATAAAATCCCATTCAACAATCCAATATGTTTCTATAATATGTCTGCACCATCACTACCTCAATGTACACTGTTAAATAACAACAGAGAAGTGAATATTGGGTAATTCTACAGAAAAGGTGGAATCTGGGTGATACAAATCTGCTGAAATATATTCCTTCTAAAAACATCTAAAACCTGTTAAATAGCAATAACTAACTCTTAACTTGATGAATCCACAACAAGTAGAGCTTAAAATATGTTTATTATTTGTATACTTTATACAAAGCTTATTTGTATAGGAATGTCACTGGTGTTACGTGTTACCAGGAAGAAGAGTAACACCAGTGACAATTTGGAGAAAACACTACCATTTTAACAAAATGGCTGCAATGTGTCAGACCATGTGGCTTCAGTCAATATCAAAATCGTTTAACTCTTCAATACAATACATTTTCCCATTAAAATGTTCACCCCTAGGGCTATGCAATGAGCAACACTAATGACAGACTTGAAAGACGCATGTAAAATTTGAAGATACAATTACACCTTTAACAAACAAAGTAAGAAGTATCTGACATTCCTTATGTCTTTGTCCACTGCACTGTCTCAAAGGATCTCTTGTTACAGGAGGCACTTCAGAGACAGTACATTATTTAAAAATAAAAGCGTTTTGTGTAGCAGTAACACCAATGACGTAATTTTGGGTGACTGACATTTATTTGATATTATTAATAATAATATGCGTTTTTCTTACCATTTCAGTGTTATATTTAATGCTTGTAATGTTATGTAAATATACATTTATTTATTGAAAAAAAATATTTTAAATTAAAACTATAGGCTCCACTTCCATATGATCAAAGTGACAAGGCAGTTCCTTGAACTTGACATTTTAAATAAATTGCAATTTACGTATAAAACCATTTTTTATTTAGTACCATTGCAAAGACAATCTCTATTTATTCAACATATATAATGAATGTGAGTATTAGGTCAACGTCATGTATTTTGGTGTCTGCAAAAGTAAGTGACAGCACTTCCACCTTTTCTGTAGAATGACCCAGTGATATTTAGTATTTACTTTCCAGAGGTCACTCCAGAGGACCGTCGAAATATTGTTAAAAGCAGGTTTCAATTTTGTTGTGTTTCTATAATCTTTTTTAATTAACAGTCAACACAAATATGGCAAGATAGTGTACATACAAATTCACTCTGTGGGTTTACAGCGGATTCTCTAATCAAATGTGTTTTTTTTGGGTACTTTACATGGGTTGAGAATTTCCAGTTTATAATCCTACTCCACTACTTTTGGGAAACAAATATTCATATTTAACAGCATAAGCAATTTTGGTGGAGATTTCAATGCAAAAACATACATTTTAACTTATAAATCATGATGTTTTATTAGGGTTAAGCTACCAAGCAGCCCACCTTCACCAGTAGCGACATTAAAGTAATGAACATATCAATGCCACACTTATTATGATAGAGTGATATATTATTCTTAAATTGTGCATTCTGCATTTTGCAGAAATGTAACTAATATGAGTAGGTTACATAATGAAAAGTAATTGAAAAGTACAAGACGTCAGGAACATTTCTGGAAATGTTAGCTACAACCAGCAATGCAATCACTAGGCCTAATCTAAAATGATATGCAGCATATTACAACAAAATGCAAATGCAGCAATACCTTATTAGCATAATGATTTTTCATACCAGCATTGAGACTTTTTCTCAACTAGCTTAGCTCATTACCTGCTGGAAGCAACATTTTAAGTCCCTAAAAGAAAGTATGGTTTTGCTCACCTGCCGATCACAGTAATGGTATTCATGTCAGAAGAACTCATTGTAATGTATTTTGAAGAGATCAGCTCAGAATAACATTACAAACCAGAACAGTTTTATTTCTATCGACGCTGCTGTACCGCCTATGGATGTATGGTACCGCCCCTCTAAAGTCACGTTGCTAGATACCGGTACGGTAACTGAGAGGGGTCAAATGAACCCAAAGGAGGACAACATATCAATACATACATAAATCCGACATTGAATACCTGCACTGGTATATTATATGTTATAAAAACATAACGCTATCTTTTAATTTGAGACAAACCTAAAACGGCGCTAGAAACGACTAAAACCCAACGGGTAGCTTGCACTTGTATCCTAGCAACGGATGAAATCAACTTTGGCCAATCATGTAAAAGTGATTGGTGATTGACACGTAAGTGACCAATCAGAGGTTAGAAACTCTGAACTGCCCCTCCCACGCCGCGTTGAATTCTGGGATTTTATCCTGAAACGACAACAAACTAATCTTCGCTGTTACATCCGATAGATACCTGTTTTTTTGTCATTTTAATGAGCGTTTTGTTGCACAACCTCAGCAGGGAGAGAGAAATGGAAAATGTGCATCTGGCTGTGGAGGAGGAGGATATTTATTCGGGTTACAACGACTATAATCCAACATTTGACTCCGAAGTAAATTAGCATCAATGCTATTTTAGCTCGCTCTGAAGTTGGCATGTAGTTAGCTAAAATCCGTTAGCATTCATGTGTAATTACAGCGAACAATAATACAAATTAATGATACATTTATTTTTAATTATTAAATTGCTTGCACAACATCTAATATTCATTATTTTTTTATTTAACAGGGACAGTGCACATTCATTAAAAAGTCCAGTTCCAACTCATTGAAAATGTTATCAATACAATGTTTCATCTAGCACTGCAATACAATACAATATAAATTGCATTTGAAAATGTGTATGTGAAGTTTTAAGACAAATTATTCACCAATTTTCAAGGAGTTGGAGAATGATGTGGGATTTCAACAAGCAGTAAGGACAAGTCATGGAAGGAGACCTCCTGTAAGTACCGATTGTAATGTTATTGTGTTTTAGTGATACATTTATTCAACTACTGCCCTTATGTTCAATCTTGAGGTTGCTACTTACTTACGTACATTGTTATCTTCAGTATTTCGAGTTGATACTTCTACAACTTTTATGTGATGGCTTTAGTTTCTTTGAATTTAATGTTGGTACTGATACTTGAAAGTGACATTTGAAGTAACATTATAAATGCAGTAAATATCTATTAATTATTCAGATGACTGCTAAATTTCCTGGCACTGCCATTGGAGCTCGACCATTAGCTACTGCATTTGGAGTAAGTACAATGACATGAAATAATATAAGAAGATATTTGGAAAAGCCTGTTTTAAAATGAAATGTTTTAATATTTATTGTTTTGTTCAGGCTCGGATCCCTTTGGCCTCTTCAATGGGCCGACCTATGACTGGAGCTGTTCAGGTGAGAGGAATTAAAGATAGTGTATTATATCTTACATGACAGTAATTAATCTCATTTACATAGTACTCATGCGTGCGTCATGAGTTTTAACGCAGTATAGTTTGTGTTAAGGGTTTTGTAGTGAAGTCATGTGTATTTTGACATCCTTTAAATATCATGCACCTTAGTGTACTGCTCAACATTAACTATAGCTCTGTGTCTGAATGTGACAGGATGGAGCAGCCCGACCAATGACTGCAGTCAGAGCAGCCGGTTACACCTCCTCCCTGACCCGTGGTGAGTTCAAGGCAGTCACAAACAGAACTTTCTTGTCACTGTTAAAACTTTAAAAATGTGTGGGGCTCCCCTATTTTAGGGCCCTAGCCCTATTTTGGCAAAAGAAAACAGTTATTATGCAATTTATATAAATAAACCTGTGTGTAAACCCTATTTGATTGTTATTATGTAAACTTTATGGTGTAATAATTAGTTTTAATTTGTATTTTCAGGCTCAACCTTTGACCCTCTGGGCCAGTCCAAAGGCCCTGCTCCTCCACTTGAAGGAAAGAATGAGGACACGTGAGTTGTCTCTCTTTTAATGGTTTCAGTGTTTTGTTTAGTGTTTTCCCCCTAAGCATTCTGTGAGCAAAAAGTCACATGTCTTAAGCAACATTATCAAACATTGCTAATGTTGTTTCTGGGCTCTTCCAGGCCTGAGGAGAAGATCAAGATCCTGGAGAAGAAAGTGAACGACCTGATAGAAGAGAGCTGTATGGCACAGAGCATTGGAGCCTTACAACTGGTCAGACTCTGTCATCCTTTAACATACTGTGTAGTAATAATGGCTGTCTTTATTTGGAGGGAAGGGTCTCCAAGTGAGGAAGTAAAACATTATCTGCCAGGAGTTGTTCAACCTAAAATGTTGGCAGGTGCACGTCTCCTTACTGTATGTAATGTTACTGATGTGTTTCTGCAGGCACTTGAAAAAGCCAAAGAGGCGGGGAGGAAGGAGAGAGCTCTGGTGAGACAGAGGGAACAATCTGGCAATGCTGAACACATCAATCTGGACCTCACCTACTCTGTAAGTACATCTGCTGTATTACAGATGTTCAAATGCTGTATAATAAAACAGTACTTACACGATAAGCCCCTTTTGGAAAAGAACACTCCTTAAGCTTGTTTCTTTCTTATTAGTTACTTAATAAAAAAAAAGCCCCTAGTTATACATTCTAAGTAACTATCTGTGATACAACAAATGGTCCGTTTGAGGAGATCATTAGTGATGACGTTTTAATTCTTACTTCACCTAACAGATCAGCTACTGTATGGAGGCACAGCTCACAGAAAATGAGCCTCTATATTCTTGAATCTGTTCCCGTCTGATTTTATTATTTGATTTAGAAATGTTAAATTTTTCTTCTATCTTCAGGTTTTGCTGAACCTTGCCAACCAGTACGCGAACAATGAAATGTATCCAGAGGCTCTGAACAGCTACCAGGTCATCGTCAAGAACAAGATGTTTAGTAACGCAGGTGAGCAGAATGTAACATTATGTGATGGATCAGTTGTACCTTTTGTTGTGGTTTTTCCCCACAAACTATATCTTTGCTGCCCGATCCAGGACGCCTGAAAGTCAACATGGCCAACATCTACGTGAAACAGAAGAGCTACCCCAAAGCCATCAAGTTCTACCGGATGGCTCTGGATCAGATCTCCAATGCTCACAAAGAACTGAGAATCAAGATCATGCAGGATATCGGCGTGGTTTTTGTCCGCATGGGCCAATATTCAGACGCCATAACTTCTTTTGAGCACATCATGAGCGAGAGCCCCAACATCAAGACGGGCTTTAATCTCATCCTGTGTTACTACGCCATCGGAGACAGGGAGAGGATGAAGAAGGCCTTTCAGAAACTCATCTCTGTTCCTCTGGGCATCGACGATGAAGACAAGTACATCTCATCTAATGTGAGTAGCAGTAATATGTTTATTTATAATTATTTAAAGGGTTATTTGTCTTTTCTCCCCTTGTTTGTGTGTGTACTGCAAGTGTGTGAATGTCTTAAATGGCTATGTCTGTTTGTGTATACCACATGTGTCAAACTCAAGGCCCGGGGGCCAAATCAGGCCCTTGGTGGATTTAATTTCGGCCCGCAGGATCATTTCGAATTACTATTAGATCTGTCCCGCCGGTATATTGCACGCACACCTTCACTCAATCCTGAGGGTCTCCTCAGCTCAGAGCCTGAGCCCAAACATTGATGAACTTGCACCCAAGATGAGATGCCCAAGATGGCTTGAACTAGCATCACAGAGCAGCACACTGAGTTTACATGGATGTTTCCTTCTGCACTTTCTCTCTCACGACAACAGGGCATGTTTGGTTTTTTCTCTGAGGGAAATAGTTTCTTTGAAGCTGTTGTTGGCCTGTGGAAACATGTACTCATAAGAAATGACTCTGCAGATAGAGCCATAAGAAATGAATGCAACTGATTGTTTAATGTTGTTTTTATAGGCAATAATTTAAGCTTTGTTAGTTCCAGGTTTAATATGTGCAATAAGTTCATTTCAATAAGTTTTGCAATAAACATTGAACCAGTCCGGCCCTCGACTATTTTTAAATGTTGGCCCACTGTGTATTTGAGTTTGACATCCCTGGTGTATACTATTCACATTAAACATACATGTATTTTCCCTTACACATCTTAAGACAATATCTTGGCCTTGATGTAGATGCTTTTTTATTTCATGAAAAACCAGACAGTAGGACAACAACGTAAACATGAGTAAGACATTCTTTTAATCAGATACCCTTTTCTGAATTACAATTTAGAAAATGTATTTTCTTTTGCAAATGAAAGTTACATTTTCCTATTACAATATTTACCCAATAATTTGGGGCAATATCAGCATTTTCTTTGGCTGCAAGAACACTACATTACAGAACCCTTTTGATCTTATAAAAATGAATTTACTTTGAACAAAAAAGCCTCATATGTGTGTTATTTGGCTGAAAATGCAGTTAATGATTGGCCAAATAACATTTTACACCTATGACGACTGCATGGACATTCCCTGTCTTAGTATCTTAATTTTAACCCTGTCCTGTCTTTTCTCTCAGGATGACAACGACTCAAATATGGTCATCGAAGCCATAAAGAACGACAAGCTTCACCAGATGGAGAGAAATCTGTAAGAAAACTTTACACAATACAAACAAACATGATCATCCATATACTCCGGCAGTGGCTCAGTCAGTAGGGGTTTGGACTGGGAGCCGTAGGGTCGCCGGTTCAAGTCCCCGACCAGACCTAAAATATGGAGTGTGGACTGCTACTTGGAGAGGTCCCAGTTCACCCTGCCGTGGTGCCCTTGAGCAAGACACCGGACACCCCCCTCACTCCCATTGTTCCCCACTGTACAATAGCTGCCCACTGCTCCTAGTACTAGACTCCTGGTACTTGGATGGGTGAAAAGCAGAGGACACATTTCACTGTGTGTGCTGTGTGCTCTGCATGTGTGGCCATTATTAAAGAGGGTTTCATCCCTCCCAATTCTATCTATTCTACACCCCTCATGTGTTATCTTATTCAACAAACCCCCAGCCCACTGCATTTCAAATACAATGCATACCCTTGTTTTCTGTGTTCTGTTTGATGTCCTAAATATGTGTCCTGTTTTCTCCCTATAGCAAAGTCCTGGCTGAGAAGTACATCATGACCGCAGCTAAGCTCATCGCTCCTGCCATTGAAACATCTTTTGCTACCGGATTTGACTGGTTTGTTATTAATATGTTTGTTTTATGTTAAATCTTAACACCAGAGGGCATACAATACACATCATAAATTAGATCAACTTACACATGCAAACAAAATAAAAATGCTGCCTCTACAGCAGCTTGCATGTGCCTGGTTAATTGGTCAAATGAACAGTACACAAAATAAATATTTATACATGCATAATTAACACTTATTTTTGTTGTGTTTGTTAGGTGTGTGGACATAGTGAAGAGTTCTCAGTATATCGAGCTCGCCAACGATCTAGAGATAAACAAAGCGATCACCTACCTCAGACAGAAGGACTTCAACCAGGTGACTGTTTGAAGATAAAGAGCAATACCACTCAATTTACTCAACCTCACTCACCACTATTGAGCGAATATTTGTGACTATAATTGTTTACAAATGCTTAAAGGTGGGGTAGGTAATTCACTTCAAAAACACTTTTTGTTATATTCCATGGAATGCTCTCAACATCCCGATAGCAATGAATACATTCAATGCTTTGACAATAAATACATAAAAAAACGTCATCTGTGGAAGCCGTAGAAGGAAGGGGCAGATTTTCTTCGGTTGTGTACTTTCAAATTCTAGCGCACTCGAGCTGGTTTCTCCATTCTTACCTACCCTACCTTTAACCTAGGTAAAAAAGGGGACTATCAGCCCATAACTGTATCAGAGTAGCAGCTACATTTATTCATTGATAAAGTGAGTGGTATTCCCCTTTCACACAAATATGAAATGTTGCTGATCTGGTCTTTTTTGGTCTTCACTTCCTTCTCATTGCCCTCCATTCCCTTTTGCTTTCTGTCTTGTTTCCTTCCCATCTGCATGACTAAGGTTGAGGTATGTGTGCCCTCTGTTTACATGTTCACATTTAGACTGTAGATATGTTTTCCCTTAAAATCACGTGGTTATATATTCAGAAATATATTTGTATGTATTTAATATTCAACACTTTAGGGCTTCCTTATACATCTGATGCATGTGTGTGGTGCTTGTATTCTCTTGATAGACCGTGGCGGTGGTGTAACCTAGTTAGGGGTTTGTAATAATTATTACACAATACAATATCCCCAGTATATAATGCGCCTACAGTGACATAACAATAGTTAAATGTGGACAGTTTAACTAAAAAAGTTACATGTCTGATCAAAAAAATGCAATTATATATTTTGCATTTAAGAAAACGATTGAATGTATAGAGTGCCACAGTGACGCGTCCTAAAACCCGGAAGCAAACTCCTTCCGGTTCCTTCGACAAAAAAAACAATGCAATTTCTCCATAGGATTTTGGAAAATAGCTGGAAATAACGTTTTGTTCAGCCGGATAATCTCCACATGTCTACCGTACTTTTATCATTTTTGAATCATAAATCTAGCCAGAAGCAAAATGCTAACGTTATGCTATAAACGAACTACAGCAGGGTCGCACGACTTCAACGTCACGCCAACTTAAGGTCCATATTCAAAACTACAGATTCTAAATTGTACAAGTTAAAGCTTTTGTTTTAACAGCTTGCAGGAGGCAGGTACTTGCTTTCAAGCAGAACATGGGGGAAAACAAACTTACTGGGAGTGTTTACGTGTTCGGCGTAATGACGTACAACGTCCTCGACAACTTCTGTAGTCCTATTCAGCCACTTGGTAACAACCATCGTTTTTCAGACACGTCAACTCTTCAAAAATCACCAGTGCTGATGTGTTTGATGTCGTAGAACAAAACGTGATCCGTCTCTTCAATGTGTCTCAACCACAGACCTTAGTTCCAGCTATTTTCCAAAATCCTATGGAGAGATTGCGTTGCTTTTTGTCGAAGGAACCGGAAGTGGTAAAATGCTTACTTACTTCCGGGTTTTAGGACGCGTCACTGTGGCACTCTATTGGCTCAGTATAAACCATAATGAGTTCAAGAAGCTTTAGATCACATCAGTTTGTTGAATGTCTGTAGGTGTTTTACATACTGGGGAAATTGGCTGTTACTTACTTGATACAGTATTACTTTAACTATAAATTGACCGTTTTTTTAATCATGTGTTATCAGGCAGTGGAGACTCTGAAGACATTTGAGAAGAAGGACAGCAGAGTGAAGAGTGCTGCAGCCACCAACCTGTCCTTCCTCTACTTCCTGGTAAGATCCTCTCATAGACATATCACACGAGTCTCAGATAATTCTTATATGTAAACATCGGGGTTTGACATTCATTTAGAAGCTTTATACCATAACGACATTATTTATATATATCTGCACTGAAAGTGATTAAGTGCTCAATGACACTGTGGGTGTTTGCTGTTGATTACATTTGAAGATAAACGTTTGTGTTAAAATGATGATTGAACTACAGGCGTCATTATCTATCGCATGCTTTTTCTGTGTTAAATTTCCCCGCTTACAGGAGAAAGATTATGACCAGGCTGACCGATACGCTGACCTCGCCATGACGGCTGATCGCTACAACCCCGCTGCTCTCATCAACAAAGGAAACACGGTGTTTGTGAAGCAGGACTATGAAAAGGCTGCAGAGTTCTACAAAGAAGCTTTGAGGAACGATTCCTCCTGCACCGAGGCCCTCTACAACCTGGGTAACATCCATCTCCATCATACAGTTCATGTTTCATGTCCAACAAGTCAAGTGCTTGACAACATCATGCCCCCTCTTATTTTTGCAAGAATAATCCGGGAATTTCATAGGGATCACTCAAGAAGAATTAGAGAAGTTTGAGGTTTGATCCATCATCCTTTTAGCGCTTAGTGAGGCATGCTTTCCTGATTGGTCAGTTCATACACTTAGCTGTAAGTCTTATCATGTTCTTAACAGATCAAAGTTAGTCTAAGTTCAGCAGCACAGAGCAGGAGTATACATCTTATCTAGATTCAATCAAATAACATAAAAACATTTCTCCAAAGAATACATCTGAACATGTCAACCTACTGTAAAGTACATCGTGAGGACTTGATGTGTGGCCTTCTTCAGGGGAAGAATTGTGGTTATCACAGAAGCATTTTTTGATTCATATCCTTAGTAATATTTACTATGTTGAAATAGTAAAAACTTAACCCCTTTTTTAGTCAAGTTTTAGACTTTTAAAATGGAGTCAAATTATTCACAGATTTAGCTTTTAACTAGAAAAAAGAGAGATTTTCGTAAAGTGATTTTATAAAACATGTTTTTTTAGTATAGTCTTTTTTTTATTATAATATTGTTTGTTAACATTTTCACAGTTTATGTTTTAGGACTTGCCATCTCATCTTGTCTGAGAAAAAGCTTGATAACGAACATATTAACTCATCGGAAGTACGTTTAAATATATTAAAGTTAAAGGTAGGGTAGGTAATTCACTTCAGAAACACTTGTTGTTATATTCCATGGAATGCTCTTAACGTCCCGATAGCAATGAATACATGAAATGCTTTGACAATAAAAACATAAAATAATTCATCTCTGGAAGCCGTGGCGCTGTAAAAAGCACGACCAATCATCTGAGCCGGCCCGGCTAAAGTAACTGGATGGCCTACCTGCCGGTCAGCCTTCCATCTGGGCACACACTTATCTCGTGCCCTCATTGGTCATGTGCGCGTTCGTGTGTGTTGGAGGAGGGGCTCTGTGAGGAAGTCTGAAGGAAGGGGCAGATTTTTTTTCGGCTGCTTACTTTCAAATTCTAGCGCACTCGAGCTGGTTTCTCCATTCTTACCTACCCTACCTTTAATTTACAGTTGTTTTTTTAATCTCTATCCACTCCTAGGTCTGACCTATAAGAAACTGAATCGTCTGGATGAGGCTCTGGACTGTTTCCTGAAGCTCCATGCCATCCTGAGGAACAGCGCTCAGGTCATGTACCAGCTGGCCAACCTGTATCCTACTGATGAAAAAAGACATCTGGTATATCTGTCACATGTTTGTCTGTTAATGCTTCAAACTATTGTAGCGTGAAATAATCGATATTTTCTCAAAGTTCGCACTTAATCCACGCCCTCCTTCCTTCTCAGATGTTATTGAATGTAACTATCATATAGCATACTAGCATTTTCTAGTAATAACGCCAATCATTTAAATCAACACCTTCCCAGAAACTATGGAAAGGCTGCTGGCTCCCATGCATTTTTCTTTAAGGACTCAAACCTGATTTATTTCCAGTCCCAGTTGAGCATCTGTTGGTCCTTAAATCATTGTCTTCAGATATGAGCTTCTGGAGGACCCCCAGCAGGCGATCGAGTGGCTGATTCAGGTCCTGAGTGTGACTCACACCGACCCCCAGGCACTGGCCAAACTGGGAGAGCTCTACGATAGCGAGGGGGACAAATCCCAGGCTTTCCAGTACTATTACGAGGTGAGAGATAAACATTTTTTTTTTATTCTACTATTTCAACAATTTAGACTTCTAAAAAACAAACAAGATGAGTAGAAGTGGGAGGGCAGGAAGCAAGGCTTATACAGAGCAGGGTCGGCTCTAGAACAAATCGAATGGGGGGGGGGGGGTCCTCACCTCCTCTAGTGGGGTCTGGGGGCATGCTCCCCCGGGAATATGTTTTTAAAATATTGAAGCTAAATGCATCAATCTGGTGCACTTTGAGAGCAACATTAAGAGATCTATGGATACATCTCTCAGCATCCATATGAAACAGAACTGTAAACAGATTTTCCTTTTCTTTATGGATAGTTTACTAATCACTCCCCTTTTAAACTATATTCTTGTTTTACTGTCATATAGTATTTCATACCTGTTTTTAATGTATTGTCTTATTTTTGTATAACTAGATAATGATCATATAAAGGTGTTCCTCGGAAATAATTGTTTACATAAATGGTGACCAAACCGTTTGAGACCCACTGAGATAACTTAGACTAAAGTGAACTATCTAAACACTGAGAGAGTCCTGACCTGATCTCTCGGTGTGGAGGAGAGTCCTCCACACCGTTAGCATAGCTAGCTAACCAGATGCTAACAACAACCAAATGCGCTCGTGCCACACATACACAGAGCCGAGCTTGAATGAAACACAGATACTCAGAAGTACTTGTACTGTATCATATTATTTTTGATGGCTTTACTGTATAATCAGCATAACAGATGGACAGATCGCCACTGGGCTTACAACTAAACAGTCAGCCACGTAATGACAACAAAACAAAGGTCGGGGGTCATTGGTCAAGAAACACACCAATCAACGAGCAGCAGTGAGCACACCTCAGGCTGTGTTTTTTATTTGAATTCTTTATTTCTGATTTATTTCACACAAAAAACATTTAGTGGAAACGTTTTAACCTATAATATGATACAAAATAAAATGGCAAAGTGGCAGGGCTTGCCTGCCCTGCGTTGGGGAACACAGTGATTTGTTTGGGGGGGGGGCATGGCCCGCAAATGACCCCCAAATGACCCCCCATGACGCCAACCCTGATACAGAGGTAGCCCTCCCAGTCATCCTGTTGCAGGATAAATGAAATAGAAGATCATTCCGTAATTAAATACTCACACAGATAAACAAAATTGTAAACATACATACATACATACATACATACATACATACATACATACATACATACACCCATTTCCATGGTGAAAATAAAGTAAAACGAATACAAAATAAGTACAAGTCCATGTTAAGATAACAAGACGGTTTCATTTCTCATCCTATTTTTATGTAAACTGATAATTAAGATAATTATGATAATAGTCATTATAATTGTTATAGTATTTATAATTATTGTTATTATCATTTTCATATAATCATATACACTTTTTAAGTTAGTTAATCCAAAGACACAATGACCGGATAAAAATTCAAAAAAATGCACGTTCCTAGATTGATCATTTAACAATATTGTCAGAGTTCAGTGCTCTGATGTTGTGCTGCTGTCCAGTCCTTCAGGTACTACCCCTCCAACATCGATGTGATCGAGTGGCTCGGGGCTTACTACATCGAGACACAGTTCTGTGAGAAGGCCATCCAGTTCTTTGAAAGAGCCACACTCATACAGTATGTAACCACTTTTTATTAAAAGGGTATTGCATGACAAGTAACAGCCCAAATACATCTGTGTAAAATGAATGTTCAAAAACTGGCTAATTAAATGTGAATGAATGCCAGAAGTCAAGTCCCAACAGTTAATCTTGAGAAATATATTTAATTTCTCCTCTTTCCTGACTTGATTCCTGATTTAGTTCATCTTGTTTTGATTGCCGTGATAGTATTCTTTCATCAACCATGAAGCGTGTTTTCATCTGGAAGTCATTTTTCTTTCTTCTTGAACAAAGAGGACTGATAATTGTTTTGTTGCCTTCGAGCTGAAATCAAAAAGGAATTTTAATAATATCTTTTTAACAATCTAAATTACGTTGTGGGTAGAGTAGTGGGTTTTTACTGACTGGATGTATTTTGTTGTCTTCCTCAGACCAACTCAGGTGAAGTGGCAGCTGATGGTGGCAAGCTGCTACAGGAGAAGTGGTAAGATGTTCCCTTATAATTCATATTATAGTAAGATAGCATGATACACATCACAGAAAAGTAGATCTAATCCACATTACTAAATATAATCATGTCCACAAGCTGCATTTCTTATTATATTTGATAAAGGTTTATTCTGATCACAGGGGGTCCGCAGGGTCTTAAAAAGTATTAAAAGTTGATAAATCAATTTAGCGAAAATTAAGGCTATTAAAAAGTATTAAAGGGCATTTTCCAAGGTATGACATGTTGTAGCTTGTTTTCAATAAGTCTATAAATGGTCCAAAGAGGTTGTATTCTACAGTCAGCCTGAATGTAATCATTGCGTAGGTGTGTAGTGTGATTCTGTGTAGTTTATTTATGGCATGCCGTTGGGTTTGACGTCATCTGAACAGGACATCGCACGCTCACTGCTTGATAGCGCGAAGGTCCGTTTACGCCGGTTGTTAAACAACATCGTTATGGGGAAATGCAAGTCTGCGTCCAAATGGTTGGAAGATAAGGAGGAAGGACAATCAATACTGTATATAGTCAATGTGAGGTGAAGTGTGTCGCCAAGGTAACCGGTTAAAACTCAAAGTGGCGATGAGGACTTAAAATGTATGGAAAGGGTCTTAAAAAAGGTCTTAAAAGTTATTACATTGACTTCAGGATTCCTGCATATACCCTGGATCAAGTAAAGTTGAGTTGTCTCTTCAAGAGGTACATTTAGGCAAAAATAACCGTCCGTTCCTAAGTTAACTAAATCAAATCAAATGAAAATGTATTATAGCCCCAAATCACAAGAAATGCCTCAAAGGGCTGTTCAAAGCAAAGACAAAAACAAAATACAAACGTCATAGCATAAAAATGATAAAACATTTACAACAATATAGTACATCAACATAAGTATTGCCATGTGATAAAAGCATGTGACTGAAGTGATGGTAATGATAAACGGAAACTAGGTGATGGAAGCTAGTTTACAAGGAAGACAGATGCGAAGAGTTGGGTTTTGAGTTTGCTTTTAAAGGTGTCAGAGTCGGGAGGCCTGATAATTTATTCCGGGAAATTACTCAGACCTACTAATTGACCTAACATAAGCTATTGAGTCTATGTAAGTTTACTGCTCGGCTCAGATCCACCGAAGTCAGCAAGATCTCACCTCTATTAACTCCTGACGAACCAGGTTCAATGAACTGCTGTTTCAATTCAGACGACACGCTAAATCTGTTTAAGCGATCCCGAAGGATTTTGATATCAGTAATGAGGTGTGGCCCTAAGTAAGTGTGAGTGTGGCAGTGTGCATTTCCTACCTCTCAAGCAGGAGAGGAGAGCGCAGATTTATTTTAAGTTATCCCAATCCAAAAGGTGGGATCAGTTTATTTGAAGAAAAATTGGTCCACACTTGAACAGGGTTTTGCCTTCTCTCGTTACAATATGACAATAATATAAAACATATCATGCTGTGGTCATTTTCTAATCTGAAACCTTAATTCATAGTTTAGACATTAAATTCTTCCGACATAATCCAAAGGAATCTCCTCACGGATCGCCGGGTTCTACACATTCACACCTATAGCCCATTCAGAGACGGTTCCTCGTAAAGGGTCAGTGGAATCTAACAGTTTCAAACTTTCATCCAACAATTCACTCAGCTTCATCAAAGGAATTCGAGCAATATTTACCAAGTTTGAGAGAACCTTACCGAGGGAAAACCCAGCTCTCCAGGGAGAGAGCTTACCAGGGGGGAAAACCCCCTCTCTCGAGTTTGCTCCCTCTCTGCTGTGTTTTTATGCTCGAAACAGGACAGAAAAACCTAAAGACACCTCCTCCATACTCATATTTGTGGAAACTGGGCCTCTAGTGTGCAGGACTTGCAAAATATTATTCTCGGCTATGGCACAAACACATTTTTGGGGCCTTAGTATTTCTCCAAAAAGTCAGGAGCCCCCCTCCCTGAAGAAACTGTCTCCTCTCTTTTATCAGTGACACCCATAAACCATAATAGGCCTTTCACACTTAATTTAACAAACCACTTGTATACTGTAAATATAGAAAATCATAAAATATGACACATTTTCATTGTGGGTTATACAAGAATATAATTGATTATATTTGGTTATAACTAACTTTCGTTTTAATTATTTAACCTAATGTGGAGATCTCAACAAAGGACTCAACGGAAATAGCTTTGCGGATCTGAAATGGAAGACGATTCGAAAGGAGACGGTGCTCGGAACTAGCAATGACCTAAGTTTAAGTTACAAACACTGATCCATTTCCTCTTTTCTTCTCAGGAAACTACCAGAAAGCTCTGGAAACTTATAAGGACATTCACCGAAAGTTTCCAGAAAACGTGGAATGTAATTCTTCCTGTTTGTTCCACAATTTCCCAACAGAACTCTTGATCAACAGCAGATGATAGATTCACTGATTATAACAAATACAAAAAACCTGTGTGTGTCCAGGCCTGCGTTTCCTGGTGAGGCTGTGCACAGATATGGGACTGAATGAAGTCCAGGAATACGCCACCAAGCTGAAGAAAGTGGAGAAGATGAAGGAGATCAGAGAGCAGGTAAATCATTGTACCTTTTAAAAAGCTATTTCCTTCCCTCTCAACACTAGAACCACCAGAGGTCGCTGTACACCTCTCTCTGATTTTCAAGGTACAATGTTCTTTTATTTATCATACAGAACAGTGAGTTTTGATCGCACAGGGATGAAACTTATACCAATATAATCTGTGGGCTCTCAGCTTTTCATATGATATAGTTTGTGCAGATAGCATGAAGTATAAAATATTGCTACCAGTGCTGATTTAAACGCTTGGTGTTAGACTTGTGTTTTGTTTAGGTACAAATCTCTCTCTCTCTATCTATCTCTAACTATCTATCTGTCAATCTATCTCTCTCTCTCTATCTCTCTCTCTCTCTCTCTCTCTCTCTCTCTCTCTCTCTCTCTCTCTCTCTCTCTATCTATCTATCTATCTATCTCTCTCTCTCTCTCTATCTATCTATCTATCTCTAACTATCTATCTATCTATCTCTCTCTCTCTCTCTCTCTCTCTCTCTCTCTCTCTCTATCTCTAACTATCTCTAACTATCTATCTATCTCTCTCTCTCTCTATCTATCTCTAACTATCTATCTGTCAATCTATCTATCTATCTATCTGTCAATCTCTCTCTCTATCTATCTCTATCTATCTATCTATCTATCTCTCTCTCTCTATCTATCTATCTCTAACTCTCTATCTATCTCTCTCTCTCTCTCTCTCTCTCTCTCTCTCTCTCTCTCTCTCTCTCTCTCTCTCTATCTATCTATCTATAACTATCTATCTATCTCTCTCTCTATCTATCTATCTATCTATCAATAACTATCTATCTATCTATAACTATCTATCTATCTATAACTATCTATCTATCTATCAATAACTATCTATCTATCAATAACTATCTATCTATCTATAACTATCTATCTATCTATAACTATCTATCTATCTATAACTATCTATCTATATCTAACTATCTATCTATCTATAACTATCTATCTATCTATCTATCTATCAATAACTATCTATCTATCTATAACTATATATCTATATCTATCTATCTATATCTATCTATAACTATCTATCTATATCTAACTATCTATATCTATCTATATCTAACTATCTATATCTATCTATAACTATCTATCTATATCTATCTATAACTATCTATCTATCTATCTATATCTATCTATATCTATCTATATCTATCTATATCTATCTATCTATATCTATCTATATCTATCTATATCTATCTATCTATATCTATCTATCTATCTATCTATCTATCTATATCTAACTATCTATATCTATCTATAACTATCTATCTATCTATCTATATCTATCTATATCTATCTATATCTATCTATATATCTATCTATATCTATCTATATCTATCTATATCTATCTATCTATATCTATCTATATCTATCTATATCTATATCTATCTATATCTATCTATATCTATCTATATCTATCTATATCTATCTATATCTATCTATCTATCTATATCTATCTATATCTATCTATATCTATCTATCTATATCTATCTATATCTATCTATATCTATCTATCTATATCTATCTATCTATCTATATCTATCTATATCTATCTATCTATCTATATCTATCTATATCTATCTATCTATATCGCTAATTGAAAAAATACACGAGTCCTTTTTCCATAAAACGGGTCAGTGGCCAGTGCAGCTGAATCAAACTGTGTTCTGAGGACACGCTGTTCAACACCTGGCTGATACAAATACTGGGTCATTTTAAACCAGATGTTGTGTTTGGAGAGACATTCAGTATCACCTGACACATCTGAAGGGATTAAATAAGTGGTTTGATTATAGACAGCAAAGATGAGTATGCTGTATTCTCCAAAGGTTGAATCGAAGAATAACTGGAGACATATGCTCGTCCGGCGATTGGCAAACACTGCTTGCTTTTACAGATTGCTTTTGACACAAATCTGTACACCCTGAATATTATCTTTCAAGGCCTGCTTCAACATAACGATAATAAGATAGGATGTGACTTTGCTGTTGGATTAGGTCTGACATTCTTCTTACATCATAGCAGCTCCATTTACAGGGTCGACAAGGATTGAAGACATAAAACAGACATTTAAGACAACATTACATCACTGAGGACGATTATGTTCAAGACTCTTCCACATACTTTCAGTCTGGGATTGAACTCTTTAATTTCGAGTTGACTGGTGCAGCAAAGAGTCACTGAAATACTGCGTTCTCCTCTGTATCTTTTCTTTGTTATGGTTTCTGTCTTTAAAGAGTACTCCCTTCATTTCCATTTCACTTCTTCAACACAGCCAGACTCTCAACGACGGACCATTTTTCAACTTTTCCCCTCTGGCATCTCCAAGAAGGATTATTGTTTTGAACAATGACCCAAAGGCAGCTTTATCTCTTTCCTTTAGAGCCTAGCAACAACCAACACAGAGAACACACTGCTTTTTGTTTTGCACACTAACTTTGGTTTTCCACTCTCCGGCATTTCTTGTTTCTGGGATAGTGACTGCAAACAACTGATACTGTTTGGTAACTGGTGATAGATACCAATTAGGGCTGCCAATTTATATTCAGCATTGACATTGTGATGTGCAGTTGTCTTACTGCGGATGGCCGCCCACAACTAATGCAGCTTTGAACCGTAGCCTCGAGCAAAGATGAAGTCTGGTGCTTGCCAAGACAGCACATATTAAAAATACTAAGTGAAAATATATAATACAGAACATTATTTCATGTTTAGTTTTTAGCCCCAAAGGTTGTTGCTTCAAGTGACATCATTTAAGGGCATTTATCAGACGTCATGCGGATCCCTTTGGAGCCACAAAAAGGCTTCATTCAAACAACTTTTCTTTAAACATTTACACATCTAATAAGTAGTACTCCCCAAGACTACTACACAAAGTTGTATGTATGAAATCAATGTCATTTTTCTTCATTTGACCATACCATGATCACAGGAATATAATCAAACATCTGTTGTCTTTTTATTGTGCTTTTTACTCCATTCAGCTGGGGGGGGAAATCACCCAAAAGCTCAACATTTCACATCCAAATAAAATATTTCTGCATGTCCATCTATGGTGGCTTTAAAGACTTAAAGGTGGGGTAGGTAATTCACTTCAGAAACACTTGTTATATTCCATGGAATGCTCTTAACATCCTGATAGCAATGAATACATGAAATGCTTTGACAATAAATCCATAAAAAAACGTCATCAGTGGAAGCCGTGGCGCTGTAAAAAGCACGACCAATCATCTGAGCCGGCCCGGCTAAAGTAACTGGATGGCCTACCTGCCTGTCAGCCTTCCATCTGTGCACAAACTTATCTCGTGCCCTCATTGGTCATGTGCGCGTTCGTGTGTGTTGGAGGAGGGGCTCTGTAAGGAAGTCTGAAGGAAGGGGCAGATTTTTTTTCCGGTTTCAAATTCTAGCGCACTCGAGCTGGTTTCTCCAAAATTACCTACCCTACCTTCAAGGTCCACACCCATAGTACATGAAAGGCCTGTCGCCTGTGGTCTGGGGTCAGTTTTTAAGACATGCGTGATTCAGAGTAACAGGGGCGTGTGCCATCAGAGACGGAGTTGGAGGATCAGCAGCTGCTCTTAAATCAGCTGAGAGGAACAATCCTGAGAGCCTGAGCCAGAGGGCTGACTCAGTCATCAATCTCCCAAATAACTGGACTTGATCCTGATCATTTAACAGCAGTGTGTGTGAAATGATGAGAGAATGATTAAGGAGGATTAAAACCCTGCTCTATCTAATGTTTTGTTTATTTTAGATGTCTTATTTTACCATGACAATCCACATAACTTTAATACAAATAGTTTTGGACTGACTTATTAATGAGACACAGACGGAGAGACAAATAAAAATCCTCAGCATTGGAAAAAGCTGTCGTCACAATCCAAAAATCTAGAATGAAATGTTTTGGTCTTCTCACCACAGAAACGTAATTTGAATAAAAACGATTGTGCTAAATAGAATTATCACATGCTTTTTGTTGTTCTCTGCTTTTAACCCATCCTAGTACCAGGATTCTAGTACTAGGAGCAGTGGGCAGCTATTGTACAGCGCCTGGGGAGCAATGGGAGTGGGGGGGGGGGGAAGGGGGTTGTCCGGTGTCTTGCTCTAGGGCACCATGGCAGGGCAGGAGGTGAACTGGGACCTCTCCAAGTAGCAGTCCACACTCTATATTTAGGTCTGGTCGGGGACTTGAACCGGCGACCCTACAGCTCACAGTCCAAGCCCCTACTGACTGAGCCACTGCCGGACATTATATTTAAAGTTAAACACCTTTTAAGATTTGTCCTTGTTTGCATTTCAATCCTAATTGTCCCCTACTCCTCCTTCCTCTCTCTCTCCTCCTGCAGAGGGTGAAGTCAGGGCGAGAGAGCAGCTCCAGAGGTCGCAGAGAGGGCAGCGCCGGGAGTGCAGGTGAGACTCAGTGAAATACAGACTTCCTGCTGTGTGTTGGTCTGAACATGTTCAACTTATATGCAACTTCTCCATTTGTATAGTTTGAAAACCTGGGACATTTAACACACAAACAATGTACTTTATTGATAAGTGTTAAATGTTTAAAACCTCGATACTTCTTTGGTAAAGTTTTAAAAGTGTCCGTATCACAAAGCACTAATAACTGCTTGCTTTCAGTTTCTGATTTCAATCAAATTTGACATATTTTAGACAGAATTGAATGCTCTTACATTCAAAATGATGATTGGTTTTAACAAAACAAAAAGCATGCATGTATTCCTAAAATAAAGGAAGACATGTCAAGTTTTGGTCTCTACAAACAAGTTAAGAATTTGCAACATTGTTAAAACATATCCAGCCAAAAGGGTCACATATTTACACACATGTTTTAATCAATCGATCCATTTTTTTTATCATGTATGACCCACTTCTGTTTGTATCTGTTGTTCACTCATGCTGCCGGACAGCAGGCGTCTCCTCGTCTGTCTCCTCTCCTAAGATGGGTACACTCCTAAGCAACACACTGAGCCCAGTATACAGAAGTAGGAGAATATAGTCAGTATCTGTTAGTCAGATTTATCGTCAAGTGCTTTAAAGGAGCCATTGTTTAGATTTAGAGCCGTAACTCCCAGTCTAACTCCAAAGGTTTTAGATACAAATATATAAATCTTCCTTGGTTCAGTGAAGCGATGCAGCCTCACATCTTTATAGGACACAGGGCTGCACCATTTGGAAAACAACAACTGGTTTTATTGACTGATGTTGCAATTGCTACATGATTTGTGATATTAGAGAGAATTATCATTTTAAAACATTGCTTATATTATCATTGGATAACATAATAAACTGATTCATGTGGGATTTCTTAAAGAAGATCTTTACCAAGCAATAAGACATTTTTGACGTTTGTAGGCCAGGACTTCTCTGCAGCATCACAACACTTCATTCAGATCATTTCACACATTTTGTTTATACCAAATATTGTGCTAACTACAATATGGATATCGCACTAGTCTATTTTACAATAATATTCTGATTAATTGTGCAGCCCCGTTTCATTAAAAGTCTGTTTCAGAGCTCTGAGAGTCAGGCCTTAGCTCGTCTGAGAATGAAAACGGTTCTAAGTTTGGTCCCTCCTTCTTCCTTCACTACACACACACACACACACACACACACACACACACACACACACACACACACACACACACACACACACAACACACACACACACACACACACACACACACACACACACACACACACACACACACACACACACACACACACACACACACACACACACACACACACACCATGTATACATCACTTCAGGGGACATTACATTGACTTACATGCATTTCCTGGAGACTTATCCTAACCTTAACCATAACCAACACATGCCTAACCCTAACCCTTAACCTTAACCTTACCCTTACCCCTAATCCTAAACCTAACCAAGTCTTCACCCTAAAATTAATGATTCCCCTTATGGGGACCTCCAATTTGTCCCCATAAGGGAGGCGAGTCCCCACACGTGACTGTGTAGACAGATTTAGGTCCCCACAAGTATAGTAAATGCTAGGCCACACGCGCACACACACACACACACACACACACACACACACACACACACACACACACACACACACACACACACACACACACACACACACTCTGAATCTGGCTGTGGAAAGCTGGCTCATCAGCACAATTCAAACGCAATCCAATGAATTAGATCAGAAAACCTCCGACGTGTGCTTTTTGTTTCATACTGACGTCTTCTTTTACCAGATCCCGTTACAGTAAAACTCCTTCCATCATGTGAACCCTTGAATACCAGCTGTAACACTTTTTGATGTTGTTTAAGTAACCTCCAAATCCTTTCTAACTTTCTTACGGCACACCAGAGACGGATGTTAAAGCAGGTGAGAGAATGAAAGGTATCAGCTGTCTGTACTTCTTTCTCTCTGTGTATTTGGTGTTCTGTCCGTGAGCTTTAGTGACGCGCTGTAATCTCTCTTTAACTTGTCTCTCTTTCTGCTCCTCCGGCTTCACCTGTCCTCTCTCTGCTTCCTCTCCGCTGCTCAGTATCTCAACCTGAGTCTCAACAAACCAGTCCTCTGCTGGACTCGGGGAGAGGTAGGTAACAACATCAACACAGATTATTTAAGCAACACTTGTAGGATAGTTCTGGGGGGACACGTGGACAACCAGACATTTAGAAAAAACGTAGCGTGCTTGATTTCATTTAGTCATTTCTCGTTGATAACAATTGATAATCTTGAACTGAACCAAATGGTGTTGCTCTCCTTCTTGTCATCGCAGTAACACATGAAATGACACTACAATGTTCATTAATCAACAACAACGTTCATTAATCAACAACAACGTTCGTTCATTCATCAACAACAACAACGTTCATTCATCAACAACAACGTTCATTAATCAACAACAACGTTCATTCATCAACAACAACAACAACGTTCATTCATCAACAACAACGTTCATTCATCAACAACAACAACGTTCATTCATCAACAACAACGTTCATTCATCAAAATCACTTCTAACTTGCAAGTTTTCATGGATTTTATACTTTTGCAGAAGTGCTTAAAATGTTATCATATATATATATATATATATATATATATATATATATATATATAACAAAAGGGAAGAACAATTATACTAAGCTGGCTCTTAAACTCAGCTGCATCGTTGATTGATTTATTCCTTCATTGAAAGAGACGCATTCCAATAGAAGAGAAATGGAAAAACAAACTTTATTCCAGTGTCTTAACATAATGCAAAAGAACACCATGTGCACAATCATTCTTCATAAGATCCACATTTGAATCCATTGTGCGCCTTAATACCATCTGAGTGAGACATGCAGGGTGTTTTTCTGTGTGTAGTGTTTGGGTTGAGACCCTTGAACCGGGTCCAGAAACCTCTCGGCAGGCAGCTGTGATGTTGGACTCGATCAGTGTTTGCACAGAACTCTCTCACAGGAGGATATTTGAGCACCTGAGAATTCTCCCTCTTTCCCGTGAAGGCTGCACATTTCCAGCTCTCTGAACCGAGTGTGTGAAAAGCCTGAGGGTTTCTCACGCGTCCAAACCCTGCATCTTCTTAACTGGGAAAGTTGGTAAATGTAACCTAAATAACATTTGTTTTTGAACGCTTTTCACTGGTTTTGAATCTCTTTACTTGCATATTCTCCCTCTCCCTTTGCCAATGACTAACAATAACTGTTCTCCAAGTACTTTCCAGATAACTTCAGAGCCAAAAAGTGCAAAAGCCAGAGAGTTGACTCATGGATATTCACCCCTGAGTGGAGGCGTATGAAAACATTGCAGCTTTAATGTGGAAACTGTTACACACGATCGATGTTAAGCCTAGCTTCCAATCTGTTGTCGTCTCGTCCCGGTCTCTGAAGGGCTGCACTATGAATACCAATAGGGAGGAAAGTAGATTCTCCGGCAGAGGTTTCCAGCAGTTTGTGAGGCTCTTGTGAGATGTTTAGTGCCGTGAGGAACGGACACATCTGGCCTCCTTCTCCTTCCTGTTTTTCTGCTTTCTGCCTTTCCTCTCGTCCGTTTCCAACGCTACCTGGCAGCCAGATGTTTGCTCCTGCTGCCTGTCTGTCCTTCAGTCTGTCATCAGAGTCTGCAGCACAGACGCAGATGTGTCGTGAAGAGTACCAGCTCTCTGTCTGAGGGGATTAGGACCCGAGTTGTTGCTTTTATTACATTACAAATTGACCTACAAGCAGTGCATTCAACCATGGAAACTCAAAAGCAAGAATCCTGCAGGTACATTTGCTTTAAATTAGCCAAACCAATGGAAGTGCTACTGCATTGGCTTCAAAAAGGTCCAACATGTCTTGGTGCTACATGCAGGAGTGGCCAAGGTGCAGTCGTAACAGTTGTGTTGCAGGGACTTATATTTTGGATGATGGCTGATATCTTATAACACCTAGGCGAGTTATTCAGTTCAGTCGGATGGACAAATATCTTGAGGTTCAGCCTTTCCAAAACAAACTTCACTGTGCTAAAAATACATTTACTTAGCAAAGTTAAGTTAAAGCCTTTTATTGTCATTATACACAGAGCATAACGAGATTCAGAGTGCAACTCTGTCCCGGTGTGCAAAAAATACAAACAAATACATAACACTAAAAAACACGGCAATAGGACAGACAACATACGGGAGAATAAATAGTTACAAATATTGATATAAAAATAGTATATAAAGTGTGTGTAAGTGTGAGAATGGTTACGGTCACTGCATTAAGTGTGGTGGTGGTTGAGCAGCCTGACGGCCCAGGGGTAGCAGCTGTTTTTGAGTCTGTTTGTCCGTGACTTGAAGATCCTGTATCTCCTCCCAGAAGGCAGGAGAGAGAAAGGAGGCCAGCGACTGTATTAAAGGTCTACAATGAATCCAACAGCACCATCAATTACATTTATATAACCACAATACATCTAAAACAAATTCCCCACATACACAGACGGTTCATAACGTACTGTCTCTCTCTCACATCTCCTCCATGTTGACTTTTCCAAATGTGAGAAAAACCTGCGTCTGACCTGTCAGCTGTTCTCTGATCAACTGTGTCTCTTGGGGAGTGAGGGTCTTCTGCTGAATAATGGCATGGCTTAGTGTTCAGTATATATGCACGGCAATTTATATATAAACACATGCCGGCTACTCTAACGCCCCGATGACGATGAAGTGTGTTACAACCCGGTCCACCTTAGAGGAACTTTTCAACACCTTTTTAATCAAATGAAGACTTTTTTCATAGCACATGTCATATTAGCATTTCCTGAGTTTGTGTTTGCTTGTGTGTTTGGTGCAGACAGCGCCCACAGCAGCAGCACTAAAGGAGAGCGTCTGAGCGCCAAGATGAGGTCACTTCCTGGATCCAACGAGCCGTACGAGGCCAGCAGCCCAAAAGAAATAGGTGAGGAATCACAAGTCCTCTCTCTTCTGCAAACAATTACATCAAATAAACTGTCTCTTATCTGTGAACCGTTTGATCCAATCAGAGTCAAGCAGACTGAACTGTTATCCAGTAACATGACTTATGAAGACTCTTTATTAAACTCAATCTCTCTTTCCCTACTAAAAAAACAACGGTCTGTCCTTTACAACACTTCTGCTTTCTGATTTAGAGGATTTTAGTCAAGAGTGCACAAAATACTAATAAGAACATCCAATTAGCATAATGTGTCCTCTTGTATTCAGTGTCACGTTCAGCGGTTCAGCCGCAAGCAGCCACTCACCGTGACTCACTGCTTTGTTCATCTAGCAAAATCCACTTCTTCATGTCTCTTCTACATCAACATGTGTCCCCTCTTCTTCATGTCTCTTCTACATCAACATGTGTCCCCTCTTCTTCATGTCTCTTCTACATCAACATGTGTCCCCTCTTCTTCATGTCTCTTCTACATCAACATGTGTCCCCTCTTCTTCATGTCTCTTCTACATCAACATGTGTCCCCTCTTCTTCATGTCTCTTCTCCATCAACATGTGTCCCCTCTTCTTCATGTCTCTTCTACATCAACATGTGTCCTCTCTGTGTAAAGAGACTCTGAAAGTTTCAGGAACAAAGATTCTCTCTCTTTTTGATCCATTTCTATAAAAACCTGTCTGAAAATGAGCTGATCAGATTTTGGCCACTTTATGATGTCATAACGATGTTTTGGTTTGTATAGCCATTAGCCAATCACCAACAAGGTAACCCCCCCCCCCCCTTATCACCTGCATCTCCTCCTAGAGCACCATTGTGTTCTTTTTAACCAAATGTCTCTCAGAGGGGCGTGGGGAGGGGCTCCTTATTTTCATCTAAAGTCACAGACAGAGAATCAGCACTTTTGAACCAGGGCTGAAACAGAGGGGATTATGGGTAATGCTGCAATGACCTGTTTGGTGTTTGGAGCCTAACACCTCAGAGACATGTTTTGTATAGATCTGAGACCTATAATAGATTGATGAAAAACAGTATAATAGTTTAACGTCTAAGACCAAATGTTATCAGTTAGCGGGACATGTTGATACTGAGTAAAGCTTGTGTTCCTCTGGTGCAGATGCGTCCTACGTGGACCCTCTGGGGCCGCAGATGGAGAGACCGAAGACGGGAGCCAAGAGACGCGTGGAGGACGACGACTTTGCAGACGAGGAGCTGGGAGACGACTTGCTGCCGGAGTAACTGCTTCTGACTCCACTGATACCGTGTTGTCAGGACATTTGGTTCTTTGTCACCTTTTATGAAAGGACGGAGCACAAAGTAGACCCCTAGACCCAAGCATTTTATACTCTGTGAAATGAATATTATTAGATAAAGATGTGACTCTGCTTTTCCACTTCTGAGTTAAGAAGTGAGATGTCTTTACCTCTTTCAGATCGCTCATCTCTGCCTTAAATCTGCTTGATAAACATCCTTTTCTATCGTCAATATTTATACATATTCATTTGGCAGAGGAAGGTCTGGGTATATGAAATGAATGGAAACGAGTCTGGCAGTCTGGAAACATTTTGACATTTTGTTTTGGCTCTGTACTCCAACAGAATGAACTTGAGATGTAAGAAACAATCCCAATGCATTGAAAGTGTTGACGTTTAACTTCAGTTTGACTGTTTACATTGCTTTCTGACGAAGTGTTTGGAAATGATACACCTTTTGGACATGCTGTACTCCCAGGGGTAAACAAGGTCTTTATTTTAACCCAGTGTTTGGGCACAGAGCCAAAACAAGGAGTAACATATCGCTGTCGAAATATTTTCAACTCAAATGTGTGTTTCCAAGTGTGTGAGCCTGGGAACCTTCTGGAAAATCCATCAACAATTTATGTAATCCATCCATTTCTGGTCCTCTTTGGTTTTACATTTTATACTTATTCCAAAAATGTTTATATGTAGTATAATATTTATTTTTGTTTGTTGTTATATAATTTAAAAAATAAAGTATTTTGTCTATTCAAAACCAAACTCTCATTCTGTGCATAATTACTTTCAGATAAAGCCATGAATGTGTTCTTTTTGTGACGTTTTCCAAACAGATTACATTCCTTTGCATTTAGCTAACTCACTATCCACAGCGACTTGCAATAAATAAAATCACACAAATCCCACCAAAGATTTAGTGAAGGGTAAACTGTATTGAGTTATGCTCTAACTGTCTTTTTAGATGAATCATATGTTAAAGCTTTTTCCTCACATACATCTGAATGCACATCATAAAAAAGTGACAGGCAGTAATGGGGTCTTTGACAGAAGACCGACACTAAAATGTGCTTTTTAAAACAGGTCAACATGATTTGTATGTATTAATGATTTGAACTAGAGGTGATCATTTCCTTGTGAAACCGGAGCGGACAGAAGAGGTTGTTAAAACTGGATCTATTTATCTTGAGTGGAGTGAAGTCAACTCTGGTGTGAAGCCAGGATCCAGCAGAGAGAGAGAGAGCCAGCAGTCTGGACTTCCCCTCTCCCACTCCGGCCTCTTTTATCACCGGAGTGAGACTGGATTCTATCAGTGTGTCCTTCAGTGTGATTTAAACTCGTCCTGCTCGATGGATCAAGTTGTTTCAATAGTTACGATTTTTTGTTTTACTTTACGCACACTTCGGAGGAGAAAGGCAACATGAGAACACTCTTGTTGGCATTGTTTTCTTAACAGTAAGCTGAAACGGGAAGTGTGAAACTTGCAACTCGGTAATTATTTCTCATTCTGAGTCAATTATTACACCTGGCGACCCTGAGGACGAGTTGTGCCAAAATGTTTCCACAGTGTCCATGGCGGCGCGCATGTGCCTCGGTGTCCAAGATGTGGACTGTGACTGTGACACTCCAACATTTCACTGGATTATAACCGGGGGAAGTAGCTTCAACTGGAGTCATACTTTTAAATCTTCATATTCAAGAAAATCAAAGACGATAAAAGCGCGCAGGTACACTTTTTGGAACACCACATCTCCTTCATGTTTCCTCCACGGATCCTCGTGCTGCTGCTGCTGCTGGGCTGGCCTCTCGGGGCGGTTCGGGTCCGGAAGAAAGCCACCAGGAACCGGTCTTGCCTGGACCTCCCGGAGGAGATCCTGGAGCAGATGTTCGGGCGACTCTCTGTTGGAGTGATGAGCGCTTTCCACCACGCGCTGGAGCTCGAGCCGCAGGAAAAACTCAACCTCACGTGCCCGGCCGCAGCAGCACGCACTCCCGCCGACCGCAAGACCCGCCTCCCGGTGAACCTGCTCAGCATCTCCCCCTGGGCCTACCGGTGAGAGCAGGGGGATAATATGCTGTTGTTGGACCATCCATAAATAACCGTTTAAACTGGGTGATTGATTAGAATGTCATGTGACCTTATAACTATTACACTGGACAAACCTTTCCTTTTGGGATGTTAGTGTTATTTGTTCAATTGTATGTGAATATGTTCATCAGTATATTTTCTTTTAAATATATGCGTCCGTGTCTTGTGATCGTTTAACTCCTAATCCAAAGCAGATATTATGACTTCACTGGTCAATTAAGACACACCTCTTTTTATTGGATTTTAGTGTTTCTTCTGCAGAATATTTTTATGCAGAAAAGCACTTTTACTTATTTGTAAAGCTTCCATATCATTTGCCCCAATATCAATGCAGAAATGTATTATTACACTGGACATGTAGGAAACACAACTTTATTGGATTTCTTCTATTTTATTTGAATGTTATTATACACATAATGTATTCTTTAGTCTTAAATCTCATTTCCTTACAACAGCTTCCATATTATGGGACCTATTAACTTCCATTCCATGCCACCAGATATGATTACAACGCACTTCTTTATTTTAGTAATTTTATGAAAATTCTGCAGTTCTTTATTGAAAAGTATAGATTTGTTTTCAATTGCTTCCATTTCTTGAGTCTCGTGACTCCAACTCATGTAGCATTTGATTACTGCACTGCACCAGTAGCACACTCCTCTTTTCAATGGTTTTTAGTGCTTATTCTATTCTATTAAAACAACACATTATTAAGGTTCTGCAGTTTCTTCATTGAAAAGTCCCATTTCCTTTCAATAGCAATAAGGTGACCCAATGAAAAACTGATATGTTAATTGTTTTCACCCCAGGCTCTCCTACGACCCAGCCCGGTACCCCCGCTACATCCCGGAGGCGTACTGCCTGTGCACGGGCTGCCTGTTCGGGCCCTACGGGAAGGAGAGCTCGCGCTACCGGAGCACCCCGGTGTACGCACCCTCCGTCATCCTGCGGAGAGCCGGGTCCTGTTTGGGGGGGAGACACTCCTACACCGAAGTGTACGTCTCCATCGCGGTGGGCTGCACCTGCGTCCCCCTGCAGGAGAAGGAGAGGGAGGGGGCGGGCAACCAGAGCCTGAAGAGAGCCGAGAGCAAGGCCAGAGAGGGGGGGTCCAAGGGGAGGAAGGTGTGAGGGAGCAGACTGTGGGACTCTGGATGAGTTTTGTACAACTGATCCACTTTCTTTGGGTCATCATCTCCCCCCTGACATTTGAAGCAATTTAAGTGAATTGTACGTGCAAATAAGACGCCCTTATGATTATCATTCATAATAAAGGGTTTAGCAGAGTTTCTGATCTTCATCTTTTGAAAACGTTTTCACATAGAAGTAAATAAGGTCTGTTTTTGTGTCTGTTTTGTTCCTAAATAACATTTTATATCCAGCCCACTTTAATCTAAGCTTGGATTTGGCCTTCCGGAACCCAAACTTGATTTGATTCAAGCTTCATTGTCAAATGCTCAAACGTTACGGTGCCGTTTTTGACAATGAACTTTCATAGAAATAAGGAAGAAAAGTAGTGCAATAAAAACAGCACCATTTAAACAATGGTGCAACTAAAATGCAGGAAAAAGTAAACTGTGTGCATTTAAGATCGAATACAATACATGAGAACATTATTTGTAATTTGGGTGTTCCCAACCTTTTAAAAGTAAAAGCAAACAAATATTGAACGATGGGATAAAATGTCTCATTATCATCTATAACCTGATCAATGCTGCCACCTACTGATGTAAACACTTTAATACAGCTTTTACAGCAACAGAAGAATTTAGTAAAACATTTGAATATGTCCATCGACATTTTCTACATTCAAAGATCCATGGTCAAAATATATTTAATTTAAAATGATATTAAAAACATTTGAGAAACTGAACCACCAAACATTTGCTGTTTTTTTGCTTGAATACTAACAGAACATTTTCCATGTTTTGAATAACTGTTTTTAGCCAGCAGATGACGAAGTATTTGTTTATCTTTGAGTCCTATTCACAAGTGCAGGTTCAGTCCAAGTCGTCGTCCCTCCTTCATGCTCTCTCTCTCTCTCTCTCTCTCTGGACCAATCAGAGCAGTCGAGACGGATAGTTGACGAAACAGCGAAACTCGTTGGATAAGTTTTTGTTGTGTTTTGGCAGAAAGCTGCACATGTTCACATCCAGAAGCTCTTTGGCTACTTTCTCCATGATGGCTCCTGTAGAGTAAAAACATCAGACATTTGTGACACGGTGAAACATTAGGGATAATGTAGGTACAAAACTCAACCAAATCTAGTCTTATTGAAACACAAGTGTATAAATATTGGATATTATATCTTCGTTTTCACCTCACAGCAGATTAAATGTTGTTTTCATCCGGATATTTACAAGTGTCTCTCATTGTGTTGAGCCTCTGTCATACATTTATCTTTAATAAATCATCACATATTGTAACACAAATGCTATAAGAGAAACTCCCTCCCCCCTCCCCTCTCACCTGTGCACAGCAGCACTTTGCCTTTGCTCAGGTACTTCACGGTTTGGGCCACTTTAGTCAGACATTCCTCCGAGAGGTACGGCGGGTCGGCGATGACGAAGTCGAAGCTCTGCGGCGGCGCGTTGGAGAGGGCCAGCGGCTCGTTGTAGTCGTAGAACAGGAAGTCCTCGCCGTACGTGGAGAAGCGCCGGTCGTACTCCAACACGACGGCCGACACTCGATCAGAGCCGGACACCGAGCCCTGCTTCAGCTTCTGGTAAACACTGGGAGCGCTCACACACGCTATCCTGCAGGGGGGAGAGACAGAAGTAGGAGATTTTATGTCTGGTTGTGATTGATTGGTTTCCCAGACGCAGAGAGAGGACTTTCTTTCTGCAGCTGCCATTTTGCACCAATGTTCAGAATCAATCCATCATAGAGGAGAAATATCTTGTTTATACACGAAATAGACAGAAAACAAAGGCAGCAGAATGTGAGTATTAAACAACGCCCTCGACGAGAAGCTTAGATTTAATGCAAATGTGTCATATTGTTTATCATCAGTCATATTTCATAAAAAGACACTGTAATAATAATTAATAATTCCTTACATTTATTATAGCGCTTTTTCAATGACTCAAAGCGCTTTACATATACACACATTACACATATATCATACATGCAATGGTCAGATACTGTGGACAATACCCACAGGAGCAAGTTCAGGTGAAGTGTCTTGCCCAAGGACACACCGGCTTTACAGACGCAGCAGCGGCGGGTTTCACCCCTTGATCTGATGATCATTGCACAGCGCACTGCGCCACACCGTCCATCTTCACGCCTCGAAGACATCGAGGCGCTTTTACAAGTACACATTAGTATTATACATGTACTGTGGACATTACCCACAGGAGCAAATCCGGGTGAAGTGTCTTGCCCAAGGACACAACGGCCTGACGCAGTGGCGGCAGGAGCGGGTTTCGAACTGGAGTTCCCCAGCACTCCCCCTTGATCTGATGATCGGATGCACAGACCACTGCGCCACCCGTCCTCGCCGACCCCACACCAGTGAGCCAGCTCACAGTGTCCCGCTCCTCGCAGCAGCGAGCCTCGCCACGTCCTGACGAGTGAGTGAGTGAGTGAGTGAGTGTGTGTGTGTGTGTGTGTGTGTGTGTGTGTGTGTGTGTGTGTGTGTGTGTGTGTGTGTGTGTGTGTGAGGAAGTCCGCAGATTGGTCCAAACGTAACGGCAAAAAAGAAAAAGAGAAATCCCCAACGAGGCGTTCTGGGGTAGTCATGAAGGTCATTGTAAAGCACCTCAGAAAAATGTTTTAAGGCCAAAATATAAAGCGTAAAAACAAATAGAACAGTACTTAATTAAATGAAGTGTGTGTGTGTGTGTGTGTGTGGTTTTACCTGCCTCCCTCTCCAGCTTCCCGTACGGCCTCCTCTGCTAGCTGAGCTGCCGTCTCGTCACTGTACCAGAACTGACTCAGGCTCTGCAGAAACACAGACAATTACTACTAACACTCTGAACTTTAAAGGTCCCATGTCATGGCCATTTCTACTGATCATAATTCAATTGTTGAGCTCTACTGGAATAGATTTATATTGTTCAGTGTTCCAAACTCACATTGGTTTCTCATACAGCATCTCTGTATAGTATGTGTATTCACTCTCTGTCCTACACGGCTTGTTGGAGCTCCTGCCCCCCCTCCCTGTGAACCCAGTGGCCGTCTGCGAGACAGCGAGACACGGCGAAACCCAGCCCAAAACACACACACACCCGCAGCCTGGCTGGGAGTTTGTGTGTGTGCCCAGGCTGAGTTCCGCGGTGTCTCGCTGTCTCGCCGACCCCACACCAGTGAGCCAGCTCACAGTGTCCCGCTCCTCGCAGCAGCGAGCCTCGCAACGTCCTGCCGAGTGTGTGTGTGTGAGGAAGTCCGCGGATTGGTCCAAACGTAACGGCAAAAAAGAAAAAGACAAATCCCCAACGAGGCGTTCTGGGGCAGCATAGACAGGTGTTTTCTGTGTTAGAGTTTTACTCGCTACAGGGTGTACTTTGAGGGGTTTGACTCTGCAGACCGTTTACATGCAGAAAAACCTTCATAACACAAGGGGACGGGTAATAACCAGAAAAGCATGACATGGGACCTTTAATAACTGATCAACAACGTTACATCAGTTCATCTGATCGCATGCTTTAAACCAGGGGTCTCCAACCTTTCTTCATCTGAGAGCTACTTTGAAAAAATGAAAGTGGCAAAGAGCTACTTGCATCACATCGCTTACATGTATTCACATAGCACTCATCAGTTGAATTAAGCTACTTTTGTACACGTGTGAAATTGCAATACCTAAAGCTTATCACAAATCTTAATTTCACATCAAGGTCCAAGAAAACGACAATGTCTCACATATTATTATGGCCCACATAGTAAGTACATCACTGAACATTCACATACATGTCCTTAATCACCACCTGACAAGCATCTTATGGCACTTATGGTCAAATAAGTGCATTCACTCTTTTTCACAGTCAGTGAGATGAATGGCGCTGCATGGAGTCCACCATAGAGGTGTATGCTGGACCCACTTAGGTTCACTCTAATAGAGTCATTTAAATGTCCATCAGTCTTGTTCTGTCATTTCAAACCTTTATTTAATCAGATTGGTCCCTTGAGATCATAGATCTCTTTTTCAAGGGAGACCTGCAGAAGTGAGTCTGTATTTAGATCTCATGACATTCATGTCAGAAAAAGCTGCTTCACAAAGGTCTGTAGAGCCAAATAAAGCAGACGTGTTCAGTGCTGCTTGGTGAATGTTCTTATAGTTTTCTGGGTCTACAAGGCTCCAGAAAGGTTGTGAGTTTTGCTGAGACTTAAGCTGAACATTATTTTGGAGATTTATAACCTCCATCTCCATCTCCACAGGATTGACACTGAACAGCTCAGCCATCTTCTTCTTCTTCGTCTTGACATTAAATTATAAAGCATAATAAATCAACTGTATAGGTCTAGCCTCCCTATATCTGTGTGTGAAGTTGTTCCATCCTCAAAAACAAAAAACTAATACTTCTGCGGTCTAGTTGCAGCTTCTAGCATCGGCCTTCTGTTAAAGAAAAGGACACTGAATGTCCTGAATGTGGCATCACACACAGGACTTGAGTCTGAACACAGCAGACAACAGGAGTATTTACAACAGCATATAACAACTAAAATAGTGCATGTGGGTGCACACTTACATTCTCTGTCTTACTGTTGCATAAATCCCATGAATGTATGAGATTAAGTTAGCTTCATTATATCTCAGTGATTAAGTGAATAATAAAGTTTCTATCGGGTCACTATCAGCCTGTCACTCATTATTTTCAGGAGGGGGCGGGGCTTGGTGGAACGGAGGAGACGGTGATCGCGGAAGCTTTTTTCCTCCTGCCTTCACAAACTTTACACACGTATATATCAACTGAAAATAGCAAGAGGATATTCATACTCTGCAATCCAAGACTTAATTAAATCCACCAAAAACCTGACATGATGATAACGAGTGTTTTTCAAAAAACACAAATCCCTCCCTGTGTGTCTGAGCGACAGGGCCTGATTCAGAGCGGGTCATTCTGCTGTTGGTTCTGGACTGGTGTTGCTGGAGAAAGCAGACTGCTCCGTGTGTGGTGTCGCTGTGCCGCTGTCACTTGATCTCTGCGTCACCGACCAATTTGATATTTGTGACAGAAAACATTCTAAAATAAAAAAACGTTATTGTACAGCTGCGGCCGAAAAATCAAGAAGTGACCTTACTACGCTATAATCGATAATCGAGCTACTGAAAAGCTGCCCGCGAGCTACCGGTAGCTACCGGTAGCTCTCGATCAACGTGCTGGAGAGCCCTGCTTTAAACTATACAGAGTTTCACTTTAAACCTGACCAATAATGGATTAATGACCTCGTGCCAAGACTGACATTTAAAGTTAGCAAGAGACGTAGTGTTTTAAATATAT